GAGAGAGAGAGAGAGAGAGAGAGTGGGAAAAAGATGGAGGACGAACTCTCGTTGGTAACGAAGACGGGATGTAAGATGTAAAGAGGTACAGGCGCAAGGAAGATAGGATATTTAGCCCCACCGGTGGAGGACTCGCGTCCAGGGGGGCGTCACCCTGATCTCCCTACCTTACCGACAGAGAAACTCCTTTTATCCAAACGTCGATGACTCGGCGGAAGCGGCGGGGTACCGTGAGACAGGGTAAGGTGTCTTGAAGAGGGGGACCAACGATCCGAATGGTAGCAGCGGCTGGTTCACGCACGCCGCGAAAAGTTTACCCCCACTATTTCGCCCTCAACGTGTGCTGTGCTTCTTATTGCGTTGCATGTGCTCGCGTACATTTTCTTTCGGTTATCCAAAGAGCCGCGATAAAAAGACGTTAAATAAAAAGCGTAAAAAGATCGCTCTGACAATCGAGATAAGAGAATATAAAATTTTTGATTAAACTCCAAATTGATGTGTAAACCTTGACGACTCATTTCAACGGTATATTTTCTCATTTTAATATCAATACACGTGCTTCGCCAATTTTTACATGATTATACGAACGCGCGTGCGACTGAAACCACTGTGAGAAACGTCTGTTTTTAATCTTGCTTGCAAACCGAATTTCTCGCTTTTAGCGCGCAAACCGGTTTTAAAACATCGAGGAAGACGTGAAATTTGAAGGAACATTATTATCTACACAAAGTTTTCAACATCTGTTTCTCTAATTTTCTGATTTAATTATTTCCCTTTATATAATTCTTAATTTCTGGATATATGAAAGGGGTTTTTAAGATTATGCAATAATATTTATTTTTTTATAACATTTTTTTAGTATCTTCTATAAGATGTTTTCCTTTTTCTAGGTAATTTAAAAAAAAAACTTTAAAGCGCTATCTTTCGATAATGTTTAATTAAAAATCGAAATTATTCTTCTTTTATCGAATTTCTTCCAAATTTAGAAAATCGTGTATCCAAAAATTAACTTATATAACAAACATAAATTAATTGGTATTCTTATTTAAATTGTTAGCCTCAGAAAGCACATATGTTCTGATGAGCTTTTCTTTTTTACCTGAACAAAATTTACGAACGATAATAATGGTACATGTCTCTCTTATTATTTTACCGCGTTTTGTTGACGAGTCGACAAAAACTTATTACTCCAGCACCCATCAGAGGATTCTTAAACACAGACGCGGAGCGATTATCTCGCGACAGTGTGTCGCGAGAGCGTCACGGTTGACGGACTTTGTGAGAATGACGAATAATAAGAGTTCGCGCTAAAAATTAAGTCATTTCAGGTCGTTGCGTGGTAAAGAATTCTTTTAGTCCTTATTCTCTTATTATCTCACGTTTGAAAAGGTGACATTTGTACTTTTCCGAGTGCGCTCAATTGTTCTTTTATTCACATGCTGATGAAGTACAATATTCTATTCTAGCGTAACGTAAACTGTATCGAATTCAACTCGAGACTTTTAACATTTATCGTCTTGAAACATTATAGTGTATGATTTCTTTAACTCTCTTTTTAAATTAATGTATACAACTTTATAGACATACAACTTTATACATACGGTTTGAAATAAAATGTATATAATTTGGCACACCTTATATCAGGTTGCAAAAACAGATGGTTAACCGAGGGAGCAATCAACATGAGTTGAATTGCTGTCGCGATTACCACGCTTGGGAGAGTCCTAATAAGGGCCGGTAGCATAAATAATGTCATTTGCAGTAGGTGCGCTCATAAGTTTTGATGAATCAAGTCTTATCAAGTCGTACAGTATAGTTAACTGGAAATAAATCGTTTGGTAGTGGATTTAATAGCATATGCAACTTCTCGTTCACGCAACAAGACTCTTTGCAGAGTCTCTTTCTCTTTCATAGCTTTTACTTTCAAGTTTTCTTAGTTATATACGGATCGTAACTCAAAGTAGACGATCGTTAATGACAATCGCGTGACAACGTGTCCCATCGGCTACAAGTTAAACTGTTCACCGCGCACTAAAGTATGATGCTCGGGAACAGGTTTAACGCAGGCTGAATTATTTTCCCGATGAATTCGCGATTACGATGCGGCTAGCCGCCCTAATAAGGAGTCCTAATAAGGGTTGAGAGTATAAATAAAGTCATTTGCGGCAGTTGCTGTCCTGCCCTTCGTCAGGGCCCTTCGACGAATCGGACCTTTCGTCGCGTACGGGGACGCAGAAATCGCGCAGCCAATGATCGCGTCTCGAATGGGACTACGGAGGATCGGTTTGTTTTGCGGATTAGGCTCATGTTTTAGTCGCGGCCCGCGACGAATCACGAAACGCGGACCGGCGCACGTCGCCGCTTTTTCTCCCAGCGAGAATCGTCGGGCCGTCGACTCTCAATGCCACGACGGGGCGAGCCGCGAAGGGCTACGTCCGAAATTGCTTCCATAAATGTTCAGCGCACATAATCGAATTTGCGAAACAATAAACCCGCTGATTGGAAATTAATCAAGTCACCGTTTACGATTTTACGGTGAGCCGCAGAAATGCTCTCGCCGTCGACGAGTATGTACATGGCTGAGAGTATAGGTTGAGACATCAAAACTTACACGTACAACGTTAAAAATTTATTATAAGAATAAATAATTAGTATTTATATTATCTACGGGATTTACATGTTTTAATATATATAAAAACGTTTTAGTAACTTATATCGATGAATGCCTATATGTAAAATAAATGGTAGTTCTTTACGCACAACGGTTAGAGATTAATCTGTAACATCTGTAACATAGCATTCGGCTAGTCGTACTTCATCATCGATGACGCTTTTATTTCTCTTTTTGTTTTCGATTGTTCTCTATTTTTTTTAATATCTTTATCCTATAACAACATTTTTCTCAAGCTTATCGTTAATGTTTCCAATTTATAACAATTTTTATTCTAATAAAATTCAGAGGACTTAACACATCTTTTTATATAGGATGTCTTATAATAGTATGTTACAAAACTTCAAAGTTTACACAAACAGATGGAAGTTAGAAGAAAAGTTGGTTAAAGCAGATAATTCGCGCAATAGATAAGATCTCGGGATTACAATAATAATAATGCATAAAAACGCGGATAATATATCTGGCGCGTTGAAACATTGTTAATCAGATCAACTTATGTACTTAAGTTGATTATAATTTCTTGAGTATGACAAACAGGTACGTTTAAGACATGCCGTTATATTATTGACTTTTATTAAAAGTACGTATAAGTTTACATGCGCTAAGTGTACAAAATTACAATAGCATTACGTAGAAGAGGTTCCGGTGGAGAGAGTATGTACAACAGGGTAATATATCTATATTTATATGTATCTCTATGCGTATATGTATATATATATATATATATGTATAAGGAAAGGTTCATTTTTGGATGTAAAGAGGACAAAGTTAGTAACGAAACTTAAGAGTATATGAGCATCGTCATCTTCGTTTCTTAAACCGGCAGAGAATTTAATCCGTCTCGTATAATCTTTCGATTAAGCGTGGGCTTACGAGAGGATCTCGATATGTGATACACCTGTCCTTCGTTACACCTCCGCTTACGCTATTTATTGAGCTAACAGTAAATACATCGCGAGCTTAACGCGTCTCGTTTGCTCTTTCTCGAGTTTGATATATAGCGACGTTGCCGCGGCTTCGTCCCCGGATGAAGTGGAAGACACAGTATGTTTCTCGAATGTAAAATGTTAAAATGCAATTCTCTTTTGCAACTTTAATTTTTACACTAATTGTTGAATTTATTTTTGTCAAAGTTACCATTGGAATTAGAATACATTGAAAGAGTACAGATGTAAAAATATTTTGCAATATGCATAACACAAACAATTTTCATTCGAGCAAACATTAGAATAGAACGATACTCAGACGCAAGTTCGATCGCTCTGAGATAAGTCTTGCAACGAAGCCGGGCAACATGACGTGACTTATCGGAGAATAGACTAAACAAACAAACAGTAACAACAAAAATAAAAAAAAATATTCTCCTTTCGTTTATCAATGTAAGCATCGAGCTATCTTGTCGTGCTGTCGGCACGACGATTTAGCGTCATTCACTATTTATGACACTGTTGCACCATGCTTGCATATGCACGGTAAGCTGCGATGATCGAAATATTATTTCCAAATTCGAATCTACATGTGTAATATTTTTCCATAAAAGTTTATCTGTGAAGAGATACTAAACTTGATATTCTCTTGATGAGATTTAATTTAAAATTGTTCATTATTCGAATCGTTGTATTCAGGTAAATTCTTTAACTAAATATTCTAATATTTCGATCAGCTGCAGCGACGAGTTGCTCGATCTCGTAAAAAACGATAGAGAAGACAAAGAGCTTCTTCGAATGTCTTCCCTATATCATTGGTTGTATTTTGGCACGGGGTTGAGTCACGCGCGCTTATCTTCCGCCTTGACGAAATTACGCGCAGAATTTTAATTTGAGAAATTCAAGTATCGAATTTAGAAGAGTTCCTCTAATGAAAGGAACATCATTAAATTTGATGAGCATCAGGCTCTAGAAAATCATTAATAAACACATGGCAAGTAAATGTACCGTAATAAGAATAAAAGCTAAAAACATATAACAATCGCGATAAATAAATAAAACGATATGAAATGAAATATGTTCCTTCGCGTGTTTTGATAGCGGCAGATTTCGACGTACAATGATTCCATAAATCTAATCGGAGAATACCGTCCAGCGGCTTCGTCCACAATCAATCTTCCCGTCGTGACTCGTTCTCGTTTGAGTGTTTATAGAGAATCGAAGTTGGATTCTCGATCGCTAGTCTGTAAAAAGTATCAATTAATAACAAGTATCAGTTAATAACACCGAAATGGTAATTTCAGAAAGATGTTAAATGTTTGTGATCCGTAAAAAATGATTTAAACATAAATTTGTGAGGCACTATCTTACCCTATCCGGGCTGTACAATGGCGGGTGTTGCGCTGGAAGTCTCAATGTGCTGCCTAAGTCACGCTCAGCCATGGTGTGACCCTCGCTGGCGCTGTCTCTGGTATCCCTGTTATCCCTGTTATCCTTGACGCTGTTCCTTCGGGCGGCGGCGACTTTTGTCGGCGGTTGGATCGTCGTTTCGCCGCACGATCTCGCCAGAGTGGAACCAGCCTCGCCTAGGTCCAATCTGAGGAGCTTCGTCGGAGCTTGGATGGTTGTCTCGCCGCACGAGCGGGCCAGTGTCGAGTCGAGATCAACCTGAAGATCTCCGCTCCTCAGTACCTTCGTCGCTGGTTCCACAGTGGTCTCGCCGCATGAACGCGCCAGGGTGGATTCAGCGTCCATGGTACGGGTCACCGTCGCTGATACCTGTCGATATAATTAAAACTCCATTATATACTTTCTTTACACTTTCCAAACATCTTATTAGATTTGTCTTTGAGGTGAAAACTGAACTGTACCTGAAATCCGGCACTCACGAGAGCACCCGTGGGTGTCATCGGGTTTCTCGCGCCTTGAAAATCAGCTTCTTTGCAGTCCTTCGTGCTAGATATACTTTGTTTCCTATTAGCGGGACAATGGCTCGTGCCATTGTCGAGATAGCTTATGAGTTTGTGTTCCTCAGCGGCGAACGTACTCATGATGGTCTTATTGTAATTTTGCGGTGATTGCGGCGCCGATCGATATTTCGCGCGTGGGATCATTACCGTTAAAGAGCGATCACGCTGTTCGTCGTTGATCGGCATCGCTGTAGACACGTAAAATTTATTGAACTAAGTATATGGCATGACTTTAATATGTTATCTTCGTAATCAATATTATACAAATGTTATAGAAATCGTGAACATGAAAGAGATCGTTTGGAATATAATAAATGAAAAGTATCAATAATAAGACATACCTGCGGGCATCATAGTAGCTTTTCTGGGTGGATGACGAGGTTTCGCGCTAATCTTACGAACTGGTCGTTTGTTCGGTGGCAAGGGAGCTAGCATTTGCGGCGGCGGTGGTAAAACGTGGGGTACGTGATGAGGTATCGCCAAGTCAGTGACGCTACCTTCGCTGCTGGTATCACCACCCGTTCCGGGAATCATTGCCCGTCTATCGCCGGTTTTCCGATCGCGTCCCGGATGACGGAAGCACGTCATTCCCACACAGATCGCTAGGAGACCCAGCAGAATTGCGCCGGTCGTCACTAGAGCTATTAACAGTACTGAAAACATATGGAAATATAATTGTTTAAAAGCTTCGTTTTTCCCGTATGTAACATTGGTTAACTGACTTAATTGCAAAATTATTGCGCTTTGTATAACATAATTTCTTCACCTTTGAGATTAACTTGACATCGTTGACCGCTGTGCCAAGGGAAGCACTCGCATACGTCTTGACCGAGAGAATTGGTGACGCAATGACCTTTATTATTGCAGCCAGCACATCCCAGTGGTGCCTGTGAGCACACTCTTCCGGGATATGCTGGATTTTCCGATAAATCAGCCCAGCCTTCTCTACATGAACATTGATAGGATCCTCGTAAGTTGAAGCACGCCGCGTGGGGCGAACAGTCGTGATGCGGGCCGCCCTCCTTGGAAGCGCATTCGTCAAAATCGGCCGCCTCGATCTAAATTAAATTACAGGACGAAATATTAATGACAGAATACCTTAAACACTTTTGCAGTTATCAATTTATATATCGCAATTCAACTGACCGAATCAAGATTCTTTGAAGCGTAGACCTCTGTGCCGCCTAAGCTGTAATTGCTTCCGACTAAATATTTCCGAAGGACCTCCTTCAATCTGGTCTCGTTAGCGTTATCGCTCAGCTGCACGTGAAACTCGACCTTTGTAGGATCCGGGATGAATCCAGCGATCTTGAGGCCTCTGTACACATCTCTCAAGTCGCTCTGCATTAAAGTTCTATCCAAAGCATCCTTCGTCGGAACTACCAGACGTTTGTAAGTTGCCGACGTAGAGTCGTTTAAGGCGGTGTCATACGCCACGAATTCATGACCGATGCGATCCAGACCGACGCGCAACGTGTACGTGTAGGTCGCTAAAAATTATTACAACTCGTTAACTCAAGCATATTTGAACCGAACAATATATTCGCGAAACAAAATGTCAAAAATTGTGTACAGATATATATCTGTGAACTTACGTTTGCAAGGGCGATCCGGGAACATTCTCGCGAACCCTGGCCGACAGACGCACCTCATCTCGGTTCCTACTTCGGCGCATATCTCAGATTTGGTTGATTTACACTCCGGTGTGCATTGGCTCGCAACTGGCGTGAGAGGTACTATCGGCGCGCCAAGCACTCCACCCGAAAGTACTCTGTGAATTTCGTTGCCCGTTGGATCCTGCTCGTCGCGAGAAACTTCTTCCCCGTATTCAGCCTCCACCTAAAATTCAAGCGAAATATGCCGTCTATGTAATTTTTATATTTGATAAGAGAAGATTAACTCAAGAAACCGATAAATCTGTGAATAAAACGCGCTTAATGAAAGGGGTATTCTGTTTATTATGACGTATAGCATATATATAATGTTATATTTTGTGAATCAATACCTCTTCTGCTCCGGGCGCAGGTGGGTTCTGATCGCTCATCACGACAAATATGGAGTCATTATCCGCTACGTTGTCGTACGTCGAGGGTACCCTCGTAACGATTGGTTGTAAAATCGTCGAAGTTATCGTGGACACCACGCTTGTCGGACGCAGCAACGTTTCCGTCACAGTCTCGACAGTCGTCGTGGTCATCGTGTGCGTGAGTAAAAGCGTTCTCGTCGTTGGCGGTGAGCCCAACACCGATGTTTTAGTTCTCGTCACTGTCGATGTTTTGAATCGTGTCACCTAAAATTTATGAGCATTAATATATAATCAGTACTTGCGATTATTTAAGAAATAACAATTATCTGAACTTCATATCGAGACACTCGTACCTCTTTTGGCTTCGTACGTATAGTGGCGTTGGATTGATCCCTGACGACGGTACTGGGGGTCTTTATAATGTTCTTCGTAAACTGCGTGGTCGAGTTGCTTGCCTCGGAACGCGTCTTATTGCCCGGCGTTGGTATCAACGTACTGGTTACTTTAGTGATCGAACTATCGACTCTAGTGACGACCACGGATGATTCTTTGTCCGCCGTTTTATTCACGATACTGTATTCGGTTACTTGCGGTCTTTGCGTCTTGACGTTCGATATCGTCGAATGCTGGTTTTTATCCGTTCCTACGATGAATGTCAAAGACTCGGTAGGCTCCACTCTCGTCGACGGTAGAACGCTCTCGTGGCTGGATTCCAAGAATACCGGATGTTCGGGTCGCTTAACAGGATTTGGTGGGATGTCCAAAACGTACGTTCTCGTCGGATCGACATCGCGATGGATCGTCGATGATCTGCTCGGGTGAATGTGATCTACTTGAGGTGGTCGCAGCTTTGTCGGTATTACTATATTTGTGGACAACGTCGATGTCGATTGAATGGGGATTCTAAAATGCAACAGTTGAATTATTAATTCTGCTCGTAACAGAGATTTAAATAATTTACGTACCTAGACACGGGTCTTGTATCAAACGGTCGCACGGTGTAAATGCTAACGTGTTCGGTCCTTCGCGTTTCCACAGACCTGAGGATCTCGGGGACGTCGACTACGACTGGCAGGTCGACGGTGCCGTGAATAATTGGGATTTTTGATTCGATATCCTGGATTACCGGGATATGAGACGTCGCGACGGCAGTGGCTATCTGTATGGAACCGGAAACCGCGACAGCTGGTCTCACAGTAGCAATCTCGAGCGGTCTCGTAGTTGTCAATATCGGTGGCGGCGGCACCATGTCCTAGAATGTAACACATATCGTTAGATTATGTTTTAAGAATAGATATCTTGTACAGAAAAAAAAGAAGTATATCAAATCAACACTGATATACTTGTACATATGCAAGAATATATAATTTTCTTATAAAAATTTCAACTTTTTATTTCAACTTTTTTTTCTTAATTGAATCATAAAACTTCGTTTAACTATGTATAAATGACTTCATTCAAGCAAGTTTTCTTCGTTTAACGCAATATAATCTCATTTCAAGATTATATATTTATGCGTATATACAAGTATATCAGTGTTGATTTGACACTTAATTTTTTTCTGTGTAAATCTTATAAATCGCAAATCGAAAATTTTTAAGTTTTACCTGCGACAATAATTCTACGAGGAAAGGTCTTGTGAGCGACGGTCTCGGGTTGGGCGGAACCATATTTGTGCTGGGTCGTGCAACCGCCGTCGATTCTTTCAAAGGTACATATTTCGGCGGCTTCAAGCCTGACTCATCGGTCGTCATTAAAGCGAATCTATCCTCTACCGGCACATGAGTTGTAGTGATGTCCACCGGGGGTGGCGAAAGTCCGAGCACGTCGCTCGACGGCGGTGGCGGTGGTTTAAGTCCCTCTTGATCTTTCTTCTTCGATTGATTTGATCCCACGTTCAGAGGCGGCGGCATCATGGTTCTAGAGGGAACGTTCGTTTCCTTGATTTTGTCCTGCTCGCCTTGAGAATCCGAGGAGGCAAAGTTCGTCTGGTACGCCGTGTCCAGAGTTTCATCGTTCTTTTTATTATGCGGTGGATTATTTTTCGTGACTAACATACTGGGTGGCCGCTCGGTTTGCGTCTTACTGTCCATTTCCTCGCCCGTAGCCTCGACCGACATGGAGAACTTGTTCGGGCGACCGTGCGTTTCCAGTCCCGCAGTACCGCTTGAAACGATTACCGGCTCCGGCACTTGAGGCTTCGGTTTCGTCAAAATGTGAGGATATTCCGGGTGCACCCTCGTGAACGTTCCATGCTCCGGTCGAACGACGCTTGGACGTTTATTGCCGACAGCAGTCGGACGAGATGTAGTTCTATTTTTATTCTCAGCTGTTTTCGTTTCGGAAATCCGGAAATCATGTCCGGTCGATATTTTCTGTTGAGACTTTACAATATCCGGGACCGCTACGTCTACGTTCCAATTATGAAGATCATTATTTAATTTTATTCCGTGATTCAATGTTTGATTGACAAAAATTTCCGCGGTATTCGGTTTGACATTTTCCGGACGTTTTACACTGTAATCGGGTCTAACTTCTAATTTAATCGGCGGTTTCGTTAATATCTCTGGTTTGATCCGAGTCAAACCGGGTCTTTGATCAGGCCTAATCGGTCTAGAATACGGTCTTCCGGGCCTGTCTACTTCAACGCCGAATTGAGGTATAATCGCCGGTGGCTTCAAATCAATAGTATCGTCGCGTTCGAGTGAGTTCAGTGTCGTGACTTGTCCGCCTTGCGTCTTCTTGGTCGTAGTTGGTTTTGCATCTTCATTATATGGAGCGGGTATACCGTGAACTATTTCGTAATCGGGTTTATTGACCTCTTGTTGCTTGTATCCGTAAGGAGTGGCCGGATCCACGTAGCCATTGTAAACACCGAAAGGTTTGCCTTGTATTATGGGCAATTCGTAAGGTCTGGTGTTATAGGAACCGTGAGGTCCTTGCAATAATGGTTTTCCGTTTGTTTCGCGGTCGTAAGTTACATCATGTTCTTGCCCGACTTCCAGCGGCTTGCCTACGACCGTATTGATGGAAACAACTGGTCCATATAAGGTTTGCGATTTCAGAGTTTGGTTAACGCTCTGAGAATCTATCATACCTTTCTTATCCTGATCGTCGGTTTCTTGACTCCTATTTCCTTTTCCGTAATAATGATTCTGATAATTGACGTATTCCGAGGCACCGATGTCAGAATCCAATTGCTCTGTATTAGTCTGCCACTTTTCATGATTATCTCCTGGCTGCGTTTTCGTAGCGGATACTTGAGAATGTTTGTTTTCCTCTGATATCGGATTTGGATGTAAAGGATTGTGATATTCTATCGCTCCAGTAGGCACATGATCGTTCTGCTCAGTTGGCGACGCGACATTACCTACGTTCTTATCCGGATAAATATGCGGTGGTCTGTTCTGATTGTCAATCTGAAGATTGAACAAATTAGACGTAATCCGAGTAGGTTCCTGAGATTGAGAACTCATTGGTGGGCGATGCGGTAACGCAAAGGTGTTGTGCGTTTTCACCGGAGGCCTTTGTGGTCCAGAATACGTTGGTTTTCTAATCGGCGGATATCCAGTAGGTCGTTCCACGAAGACGTGTCTATCTAAGGGACGATTGGTCGTCGGTCTCGGTCGCGGCCTCGGTCGATTATTCAGAGCGAATCTGATTGGTTTCTTGTCGGATTTCCAGTTGGTGCCTAGCGTTATCTCGTTTCCATCTGGCTTTCCTAGGAATATATATCGATGCGGAACTTCGGTCGGCGCGACTTCCACGCGCCTTGGTGGAGCTTGGTTCGAGGTTTGACCATTCGAAAAATGGCCACGCACTGGCGGTTGGTGGGCGGAATGTGCATGAGAATGGGCAGGCGGATGAGGAGCGGATTGCGGTCGAACGTTTATTGTCTCCGGCTTGTGATGTACAAGAATTTCTGTATGAACGTGGCCTTGACCGGAATTTCCGGATCCGTCAGGTCGTTTGATCAAATGAATCTCCGATGGTCTCTTATCGGGTCTTAGTACAGGCGTCTCTGGCACTTCCTGCGGTCTCCCGCGTATAGGTGACAATAGAACAGCGTGCGGACGATTAGAGAATCCTGGTTTTGGAGACGAAGTCTTGAAGTTGGTAGATGGTGATGGGGGAATCATGTAATGGGCTGGATTCTTCTCATTTGAATATTGAGGAAAATCTTCGCCCTAGACATATACAGCGGTATAAAAAAAACGTAGTTTTACGCGATGATATCCTAATATTATTAATATTAAAATCAATATCACACATACCTTTTGGATACCAACGAAACCTGGTCCAACTTCAGGTTCTGGATAAGGCGATGGATCGTCAAAATATTGACCACTTATATGAGGTTCGTTAGTATCTCCGAAAATCAGAGCTTGTGTGCCGCCTTGAGGAATTACGACATTAGCTACTTGACTGGGTTGAATGTTGACTAATAAAGGTTGCCCCGTCGATCTGTCAATGACATGCGGGACCTGATGGACAATCGGCTCGGTAGGAATCGGTTTTGGCTCTGAATCCTGTATGATGATAGAACTCTCCGGTAATAGAGGATCTTTTTGTGCCCACGGCGGTCGTTTCTGTTCTCCCGAAGGTATGACCGAAGTCGGATGTGGTTTTTCGTTTGACTTGTCCGGATGAATCTTGAAATAAATTATTATTTGTTACGATGCACATATATACCGCGCAAATAAATGTATGTAAATAATACAAATGGAACATACTTCGTCAAGTCTCGCAGGTGGCGTTAAGGGATCTTTGGCGCTCCAGGGTCTTCTATATTTATCCGGATTCCATTCCGGAATTTTGTGATTTACATTAGGATTCGCGTACTGTTCTACGTTTGGTCTGTTGGGCGGCTTTAGCAAGGGATCGTTCTCCAGAATATCCTGCTTCGATGTGATTCTTTTAGGCGGTGACGATTGAACGGGAAGCAGTTTTTGAGGCTGCTTAGGACCTGTCGGATGATTCGCATCGAGAGGAATGGAAACCGGTACTTTCAAATGTTCTTCGTAAACCTGATGGGCCGGCAAAATCTGCACTTGCGCGTCTTGCGCGGTTTGTTGAGCTTGTACGTCGTCATCGTTCTCCAGGACCTCTAATACAGGATGTACCGGAATATTCGGTACCGGTATCGGTGGTGGTTTCATGCCGATGTGCCCTTCGTCCTTTAGATACGTCTGCGGCGGTCTTGGCGCCATTTTGCCCGGTTTTCCTATGATAACATCGCTGTTTGCGGTGATTACTTCACCCGGAGATATCGGTATACCGTCGGCGAGACTGCTGGTCACCTTGTGGCGCGTCTCGGCGATATAATTATGATTGAGATTTGCCAGATGGGCAGCTAGAAAAGACAACCGCATAGTATTCGAAACGCGCTAAACAGAACATTAATTAATAACTATTACGAGAAAGAAAGAGGATCGTTACCGATGTGTTGGCTTTCGGCGGTTTCTATATCACCGTCAGCAAATTCTGCGACGGGTATGTAGATCGGTGATCGTTGCGTTGTAACTTCCTGGATCTCTGCGACAGGCACGCTGTCGTTTCTACGAGTAGCCGCGGTTTTTCCTTGCAATAATCCGGCCATCGCTGTGATTACTGGTCCCAAAGCGGATAAGCTGTTTATTCCTAAGGAACCCAGACTAAGGAGAGGCTTACTAACTGAACCATCGTCTCCGGATTGAGAACTCGGCCGCTTATTTTGTGGTCCGTCACTTGACAGCGTAGTACCATTATTATCCTGTATAAAAATTGCAAATCTCATTTACACGTAAAATATTCGCATAATTTTATATGTTTTGTTGTGATAAATATTTAAAAAATTGCTTCTCTTAATTTACCGGCAAAAATTTTATATATAAAATAAAACATACCTTTTTATCAATTGAATCTTCTGGCTTTATATCAGAGCTAGCATCCTCCGACGTCGTTTCCGTTGACTTGTCCACACTTGTCGTGTTCGTAGGACTTTTTTCGTGCTTTTTTATTTCCGCAGTAGAGGTTGATTGTGGAAGATTCGTAGTCGCAGTTGCATCGATCTGGTCCTCCTCGTCAAAGAAGATAATAGTCGAGCCCGTGACGACGTTTTTCACCGGATCGGAATGATGTGCGGTCGTCAATAGGGCGTTCATATATCCGGCGTCTAATAAACTCGGGGCTATTGACTCCGTCACAACGTTTTCAACGATATGCGAACGAGACGTCACGGTCGTTGACGTTTCACCATCCGGGCCAGCCTGACAGGAGAGAGATTTTTAATGTATGTAAGGCATAAATATATATTGTATTACAAGTAGTAATATAATACCTGTAGTAAAGTCGTGAAGTAAGTGAATGTAGTAAGGTATGTTTTAGTAGCAAAGATCTGTATAGGCTCCGGCGTAGGATTAACCGGAGTTGTTTTCATGGTCGTTTTTCGCACCGGCACTTTCTCCAGTACCACGTCGGTTGACGTGGCTACGTTCGTGCGAACTACCGTGCTACCTTTCTCCAAAAATGTATTGAAATACGTGTACGTGATGTAATACGTCTTAGTCATATCTGTCACGCTACCGTCGGTGTTGTCCAAGGCTGTCAGGGTAGTTGTGACGCTGGTTGGTCGCGGCGGAGGTGCTGATTCTGTCACTATCAACTAAAAATAGAAATCGAAGAAGAAATAATATATAATGTCGCGGTGAATACCGACGTAAAAGTTTGCGGTAAGAAAATAAGCTAACCTGGGTAATCGTGTCGCTGACCGTCTCTGTTTTCGTCCGACCTTCTTCCATAAATGTCTTTTCTAACACTCTGGTACTGAGATATGTATTGGTTTCCGGTCGCGGAGCCTCTGATGGCTCGAGAATCATGTCTAGGTAATGTTGCGGCGCGGTAACCGTGTTCGTTATGACTTTCGTACTACTTTCTAAGGCATCATTCACATCCGGATGATCTGTGTTCAAAGTCAGATACGTGTAGGTCGTTTTAAATACTTCGGTACGTAGAGTCGGAGACATATCCAGAGTCACGGCTGCTGTTTCGGAGCCAGGTTTTCTGTGCCGTTCCTCTGTCGCTGTGTTTGCTACCACCTAAAAAAGAAGTAACAAAATTATTATACTAATGAGAATTTTTATAGGATGTTTCAAATATATATTGTCGACTACAATATTTCCATTAATATTGACGATATCAAAAAATGTGTGAAAAAAGATGATTAAAAAGAAACTCAATGTCATAATCAAATCTTTCTATAATAATTTTTCTTGATTTAAAGATTATCAGATCTTTTTGAAAAAAATTTACATTATATGAATTTTATTAAATCTAACGCTTTGTATAATGCATCTTCTTTACATGTAATATCTTCCATACAGTAATTTCTTTTTTACAAATTTATATTTTGAGCGATCAAGTTATAGACGAAACATTCTGTATGATTTAAAATTGTCAATAAATTGTAAGAGAGAGAAATGAAGTTAAAGTGAAGGTCTTATTTGGAGAATGTATACAGATATGTTTGCGTAAGCACCTGCTGCTCAGTGGAAACGGTAGTCGTTCCATCCTTGGTAATTGTGTTGAGGTACGTGAAAGTTGTTGTGCAAGTTTTCGTGACAAACTCGTTCGGCTTATCCTGTGGCAGGAGCATGACCACCGCTTCTGACAAGGTGAGGGTGGGTTGTGGATTCGAGTTTTCCCATCGTAGAGCCGGAGTCGGCCCGGCGACAATGACTTCCACACCATTCGACATTACGCGGGTCGCTAAATTGAACCTGCGCCCCTCTTCCTCATCCTTCGCCTCGTATTCTCCTGTCGTTACGATTCCATAAACAACGATTCACAACTTGTTGCAGATATATATATATATGTATACATATATGTATAAAGGAAACTTGCTTCGCAATAATGATTTTATTACTATTTTTTATTGAAACAAAATTTCTTAGCGACGTAAAAGGTACTGTCGGGAGATTGTAAGCTTACCTATTGTTGACGTTCTTCAAATCAACACTCAAGTAATATTTGTATTAACATACATATAATTAAATTAAGAAATAATTAAATATATTCGGATTACAATCGAATATAGAACGAATTTTTACAGAAACGATACAGTTGATAAAGTAATTAATAGGGAGAGATTAATATTCGTATATATATCGTACATAAAAAAAAACGCAAATTTAGATATGTACAGCGTCGTTTTGTCATATACAGTATTTACATTTCATACAGAGTTGTATAATGTACAGGAAAAAATTTAGAATACCAGAAGCCAATTGACACAGTATTTAACACAGCATTTACACAGTCCAACAGTCCGTTTCGTATAAGTCTAACCGAATTCGCGTAATCAGGAAGTCTAGAGCGAAAAAAAGTTTATTAGTCTAAGGATTATATTTTACATACGGCGATCACCGTGTGCACTTTACGTTGAGGAAATGGTCAATTATCTTGTTTTTTTTTTCCCCTAATAAAATTACGTATCTCCATCAATATTTCCTTGGTGAAATATGTCATATATATACATATTTCGTACACGGGTTTAAAAATTTCAACGTTTTTGTGTGCACGGTGCGATCGTCGTGAGAGAAAGGTCTCAGATGGGTAAAAGGTACTACTCACCGGCAACGGGTACTGGATTATACACAGATGATACGAAGCCGGCTGACGACTCCACGGTAGGAGTGACAGTCACCGTGACCGGCACCGTCAACGTAAGTGTCGTCACTCTCGGTCGTACGGTCGTCGACGATGTCACTTTAGTCTCCAGTCCGTTAAGTTGCGTCACCACATACGTATACGTCCTCAGTCGCGTCGACGTCACTACCGTCTCCGTGTAATAAACGCTCGTGCTGGGCTCCAACGCGAGGTCCGGCGTGGATTTGGTCTCTAGATCGATCGTGCTCGACTTCGACGGCAAGATCTCGGGGAAATCGAGACGAGACAACGACAGATAGAGATCATCCGCTAGCCCGGCCTCGATCTCCTCCGGCGTAGGCGAAGCGATCTCGCTCGTGACTTTCGTCGCGGAGACCGACGAGGACTTAGTTCCGCGGGTATAATTTGAGCCGAGGGGTATCACGCTTGGTACGTACGAGTCGTCGAGATAATTTGACGTAGCGGTGTCGCGTGATTTCGTAGTCTCAAGCGGTATAACGCTCTCGAAGCTCGGCGCGATCGCGATATCAGATGGGACGACCGTTCCGATTAGAGAAATCTGGGTCGAATTAGAATCAATTATGACATCCGGTTGAATGGGATGCACTGTCGGTATCTCTTCCGGGTTCTCACTGATCGTTTCGGGCATCACGTTACGTTCTGTAGAATCTTCAGGAGCTTCGATTGATTCTTGTCCTTTACTTTCTATCGTTTCGGTAACTGATGAAATATGCTCTTCCGTCGTAATGTTTTCTTTATCGGGGAGGCTCGTGGATTCATCGAACACATTTGTAGTGATGTCCATGAAAGTAGTTTGCTCTTCAAGAGTGGCAATGGTAGTGGTTTGCTCTTTTGGTGCTAATTTATCGTCACCATCTTCTTGAATACGTGTAAGTTCGGTAGTTGGTACCGATTCTGTTATACTTGTCGATGCATTATCGGATTCTTGAAGCGTTTTTATTGTCTGCTCCTCGGACGGTTTTGCTGATGTAGTTTGGCTGATCGGTGTCGTTACAGTAATATTGTCACTCTCAACATCGCTCTTATTAGACACAATATTATCTTCGTCCTCGGGAGAAATTGTGGGATGCTCGTCTTTCATTAAAACTGTAATTTTATTTGCATTTTCAGTCGTAGTACTTGTGTCATCTTCATATTCTTCATCTTCCTCGTTGTCAGACGGAGGAAAGAAAAAATTGTCGGTGATAATCACCGGCGTGTCTGATATGCCTTGTTTAGATACGGCAGAGCTGGCATCCAACGATACAAGACTCGCCTCCTCGTCTGGTTTGTTGTCAATAAGGTTCGGCGTTTCTTCGAGACCGGGAGTAACGACGGAATGATCTTTTCCTTTAACAACCTCGTACTCTTCCTCATCTGAATACTCATCGTATTCGGAAGAAGGCGCGGTGAAGAATCCAGTAGTGATAACGGCAAAAGTCGACGTCGGTTGTATCGGACGCACCGCGACTAATTTCTTTCTGGTAACTCTAACTTTATTTTTGCTTGACGTCGGCGTAGATTGAAGCTTTCTACGCCTTGTTATAGTTACTTTGTGCCTTCCAAAACCAGTAGACTGATAACTGCCGTATTCTGCCGGTGCGTCGGTCGGATAAATCGAGCTGCCCGATCCGAGAGTTCTGACACGCGTCACCACGATTCTTCGCGGTGCATGCGTGGTAGACGTGACGCGAGGTGTCAAAGGTGTCAAGGGTCTACGTCTAACGACCGTAAACTTATGTTGCCTAGCAGTTCTGCTACGCACGACGGGTACTCGAATTCTAACACGCTTTCGCGGTGCCTCTCCAAGAGATTCGTCATCATCGTTGATCCTTCCGTTATTTATATAATCCTCACTTGTGGACCATGTGTCAACGGTACCTTCTCTGTTGAGTTCAATATTCCTACTTCCGTATTGCACCGATTCACCGTAGAGATTACCTGCAAAGGCGTTCCGCTCATCTGTTCGAATCATATCTCGCCTTGTATTTAAGTTCACTCTGCGATCTAATGAAAATCTATATGATCAAGCAGCGATAAAGCCATTCCTGGATGTTGCTTTCGTGATGCGTTAATCGATTGGAGTTAATGCTCCCATCTCGTGTTTGATTTTTTTGTGTGCTCGTCCGATTAGATTTTGTCACTTTGCGTTTTAGTAACGTTACCGGGCGGTTGTCTGTTTGTAATGTTGTTGGCGAGACGGAAGAGTATCATGTCCGATTTTGTCGTGTGGGCGCGCGTGCGGCGGCAAATCGAGGCTGTGTTAGTAAAAAGGAAGATGTAGGACGACGCTCGAAGAGGATACTTTTAAGAAGGAAATAGAGAAGATATTCAAGAGAGGTCGGGAGAGAGCGAAACTGAACAGAACGGACACACAAGACGGCCATCCTCGCGAATGGTTCTCGTTTCACTGAAGCTGTCAACTACCTTTCCTTTATACAACTTCAAGGAAAGGGATCCCGGCAGTCTCTCGGGATTGTCTATATTACATACGCAGCAACTTTGATTTTCATCGACGTTGCTCGTTTTTTTCCCCACTACGACGTGCCCGAAGAAGCTGGACCGACGCTCTCCGGATGAAAGAGATTTGGGAAAGGCGGTTAGCCTCTGGGGCGATTTTAAGTGGGTTTTAATAAAATTATGGACTTATAATATAAGGACGAAAGAGAGAGAAGAGGGTGAGGAGCGCGGGGAGGGATTTTTGTGTAACAGAGAGGGGATAAGATTAGGTATAGATGGACGTGGAAATGTGCCGTCCGACGTCACCCACTACGCTCTCGAGACTTTGTGTTGGTGCGTGTGAGTCGATATCTTCGCTTCCCGCCAGAATGGCAACGGCTACCGGTCCGGCGTGCAACGACGGCGGTACGGAAGGTCGAACCTCGACCGCTCCTTCCGAAGCGTCTCTTCGTCTTCTGGACGCGGTGGCGGAATCGTCGATTTTCACGGTACTCAGAACAGTGCTGAATTCCCCGGGTCTGCGGCCGGAAACGTAGAGCGTCACCACGCTAGATTCAACTTTTGACTTGGCTGCGGAGGCCTTGGTCTCCTTCTTCTTGTCGTTCGATTTACCGCGCCCGCGTGGCCTGGATGACTTCTGATAGTCTTCCACGTCGTCCTCCTCGTCATACTCGTAGCTGTCGTGCCTGTAGTCGGAATCGGCCGGCTGATGTCTTCTCTCAACTTCGCCCGGTAAGGTGTTACTCTGCGTGAACGGAGCAGCCGCGAACAGAGGATCCAGCAATGGATTGGGGTTCTGCGGTTGCGTCTGCGGTTGTTGCAGCAACAACAGGAGGGAATTTATGTTGGCCGCCGGTATCGCGACCGTTGGGGTCACCACGACGGTGTCCGTGATGAATTCCGTCGCGGTAACGACGTCGGTCGAGGAATCGACCAAAGTCGTCAGAATCTCCTTCCCGCGAAAGGTGAGGGGAATGATAGTGCTCTGATGTTTCGTTATTGTAGTGACGTAGGAGGTGGTGCGTGTGTTATACTGCGTGGTGGGTGTAGCTTGGGTTTGTAACAGAGGATTCGGTTGACCTAATTGACCCAGAAGTAATTGCGAGAGAAGAATATTGGCGAGGGGAGCGTTGCCGGGCAAGGAAGGCTGTACCGTAGAAACTATGTTCTCCACGGAGTATACCGTCGTGGGTATAATAACCGATTGAGAGACGCGACGGCCACCGAGGCTCGTGAGGGTGTGCGAGATACGAGTGGTGGGTGTCTCGTGCAGCAAGAATCGTGTAACCTCGGCCTGGCCTTGAACATTGGTACCCGTTACTTCGCTAACGATCACCACGAGCGGCTTTCCGTCTCCAACTGTTACCGTGCTATACTGAGAGGGCCCGAGGACTTCAGTGCTAGGTTGTGCCGTTACAATATTTCGATGTTCCGTGACGCCGTTGTTCACCACAGGAATTGTTACCTCCGTCGGTACATAATGCGTCACAGTTATGGTGCCGTCGTAGTTCGGATATACGGTAGGCGCTTCCCGAATGTCCTCGTAAGATCCTCTACCTCTTGTAGAAACCCTCCTGTTGTTCCCGTTTCTTCCGTTCGTCGATCTTGAGCGAGACGACGATACTCTTCGAGAATTCGTTGATCCCGTTGATTTAGTAGATTCATTTCGAAGTCTCGGTGGCCTCACTCTTCCGTTTTCGGGTTTACTTGTAGATCTACCGTTCGTTCTCGGACTGGTAGTTGGCCTCTTGTACGTTGATCTGTTCGAAGATGAGTCCTTTTCCCTTAATGTAAACTGCCTTCCATTATTTGATGCCGGTGATGGTTTTATTCTGACAGATCCATTTCTATTTCCATTAGGCTGCTTTGATCTGGTTCTGGGTTTACTCTGCTGATTCGATAACTCCGACGTTTCCGCTGTTTGATCGGGACTGTTAGATGTCTTCTGCGGTTGTGGTGACGTTAAACTTCGCGCGCGATTATTATAACGAGCGATAGGTTTTGCTACTTTTATAGTGTCTTCTTTATTCGCTGCGACGTCTAATGAATCAGATCTCTCTTCCGCTTTTGCAGAAGAGGACTGAGCGGGTCTACGAAAACGGCTGCTGTATGCCCTCAACTGGCTAGCCTGACGACGAACTCTTCTTGTTCTAGCTCCGAAAGGTCTAATTTGTACGACGGGTCCAGCAGCTTTTCCAGAACGACGATTCACATTCGCGTTAGATCTTCTGTCTTCATGTTCCGATCCTTCGTAATCATTGTCCGATATTTCTTCAACGGGCTCGTCCTCGAAACCTTCGTTACTTTCAGTTTGTCCCTCATTTGCTTCGGTTGGCTCTTCGGTAGCTACTTCTTGCTTTCTGCCGAGAAATCCACGTGGTGGGAACAAACCTGTATTACTCGGTCGCGTTCTCGTAGATACCGGAGGAGTTGCTCTGGTATTCGTTCGTCCATTGGTTACTCTAGGAACCGTTGGCGCGCTTGGCCTATTTAAATTTCCCGATCGTCTCGGAGTTGTAGTCGTCGGTGGTCTTGAGGTAGTTACCGTTCTGCCGTTGCTGTTTAAATTAATAGGTCTGCGGAATCTCAGGAGCGGATTCGTCGATCTTCTAGATGATTCTGTCGTAGTTTGCAGAGGAGTGGTGACGGTTTCACCGTCGAAGTCTTCTGTAAACGGCGTCTCATCCGTTACGAGCGTGGTCGTGGTAAACTCATTCGCGTCGTTCTCTTGATCGTCGTGTTTGGCAGTAGGTTGCCCTCTCAGTAACGTCGACGACGGTCGAATACCTGAACGGTATCTCGACGAGGCACCGGGAAACGCGGAACTCGAAGCGCGAGTTGCAACTCTGGAGGAGGATCCTCTCACCGACGTGGGACCGCGTCGATTGCTTTGAAACACGGACGACGGGGTTATTCTGGGTTGTACTCTGCCTCGGGTACTGCCCGCTGGAAATGCCGAGCTCGAAGTAGTAGTGGCGGTTCCGCGTCTGCCTGAAAATCTTCTGGAAGAACCTGACGGAGATAACGTCGAGGAGTACGGGCCGATTGGCGATGTGACGCGACCCCGCGATGATGCAAACCTGTTGCCCTTACCGGCCAAAGTGGCAGTTATTGTCGGAGTTATGTCCGTTCTGGTAATAGTCGTCGCGGCTTGCGCGCCTTTGCGTTTCGGATTGAAGGTCGGTCTGTTCCTGGAGGCGAACGGCCTTATCACAGGTGTGAAAGTTCTCTTTCTCGTGGAGAATGTCAATCGTGATTTCTTTTTAGAACTTTGTCCGTCATCGTCTTCCTCGCCCTCCTCATCATCTTCCTCATCCTGACCGGAATCCTCGTCTTCATCAGCAGAATCTGTGTGTTCTTCAGATAAAGAGGATTGAATAACGGCGGGCGAAGGTGATACTCCCGGAATACCTGTCGATTGACTCGGAGGTAGCGTGGAAGTCGGCGCGATGTTCGCCGTGGAACTCGGTACAAAGAAGCTAGAAGTACTTTCGATAATCTGAGCATATCTTCCTTCAATGCTCGTGCCAATCACTTTCGATTGATAAAACGTGGTGGTACCGTTATTCTCCATCTGGCCTTGAATCAAGCGTACGAGGCCAGTTCGGTGACCCTGAGTCGGCGGAATACTCGCTTTTCTTTCCTCGTCTATCTTCGTGCTTGACGTACTTTCGATCACCTTAGCGTAGGTACCCTCGAAAAGCGTGCCGATTTGTTTAGTCGTAAAGTAAACGGTGGTGACTTCGTCGGCATCTACCACGCTTCCTTTATTCAAAGATAGAACTCCCGTAGGAAGAACCGGCGTGGCTATCGACGAAGAAGATAACGGCGGAGTTTCTAGTCTCGTCGAGCTCTTTACCACTCGAGCGTAATATCCATCTATGTAAGTACCGTATACATCTGTCATGTAGTGAGTCGTGGTATCTTGGTGTACTTCGCTCGAACGTATCGTCGAAATCAAGCCCGTTTTCAACGAATCGGTCACCTTAGACGGTTTCACGGTTTTCTCGTCAGTATTTATTGTCTGAATCGACGGATACACAGGTCCACCGATCGCGCGGCCAGTCGCCTGTTGCGTCGCAATGTCTGGTATCGATACGCTAGTTACTGTCTCCAATCTACTGTTCAAGATCGTCTCATTTCCGACGTAAGATGTAGTGAAGTAAGTGAATGTAGTGTAGAAGGTCGTGGGCTCGGGCGAAATTGACGAAGCGTTCACGGCGCTCTGGTTATCAGGTTTGGTTGCAATCGGTTCGTTCGTGATAGATTTTTCAGGCACACCGCTGCCCAGAGGTGTCACTTCGTTATCAGCCGTGATCTTGGACTCCTCTTCGTTAGCTGATTCGTCCTCCGATGGCGAATTTACAGTCGGCGTGTAAGTCATTATCACGCCGAGCTCCACTGTAGGTGTGGGCGAGACGCCCGGGGTGACAACGTTGCTGACTGTCTCCTCGCGACTGGTGGTTATGGTATCACCACCCTTGTAGAACGTCGTCCAATATGTAAAGGTCGTGAAATATGTTACCGGTTGTGTGCTGGTTGGAACCGGCACCACGAGGGATGGCCTCAAAGTTTCCGTGACAACATTCGTAACTGTTTCCAAACGACTGGCGACATTCGTCTGGTCGCCCTTGTACATTGTCGTGAAGTACGTGAAAGTCGTGTAGCTGGTCTGCAGAAGCAACGTCGGTGCGGGCTCTACCTCATGGTTATTAGACTCCGACAATTCCTGATCCTCAGGAACGATGTTTCTCTTGTCCACGTCTAAAACAGTGCCACCACCAGAGCTGGAAGAGGACACGACGTCCGTGATCATAGAGCCTAGAACTTCCACGTCGGTTGGAGGATTGGGCGTTACTTGTGCGCCTACTTGGAAGTTGCGGAACAGACGCTCAGTTGTGGGCCGATCCTCCAAGGTGGTAGGCACCTCTGTCGTAGTCTCGGTATTGCTTTCAGTAGTTTCGTCAGGACGCGTTACTTGATCGGTGTTAGCTTGCTGGACTTTTTTTGCTAATAAAAGTGCCTCTTCTTGCGATTTCTGACGTTGAAGAGCTTCTAGATAAGCTAAAATTTCTGGCGGAGGTGCAGGCTTATTTTCGGCAGGTTCAGATCTCGGTGACGTTGGCCGAGCCGTTTTCTGCGGAGCCGATTGAACCTTGGTTGGTGTTATAGTCTCCGTAACGACGTTAGTGAAGACTTCGGTTCGCGTCTCGATTTCTGTCTCGTCGTCCACAAAAATAGTGGTAAAGTACGTGTACGTCGTATAATACGTCTTCACCTGTTCCTTTACCGCTGCGCTCGCCATAGCTGGAGTGGGACTAGGTTCTAAATCGGTGGTCCATCCATCGGACGTCTCGTAATCATCAACAGTCGTAATGGATTCCGTCGGAACGTTCTCGTTTACCGTGGTATCCTGTTGCTGGAAAGTAGTTAGACCTCCTTCCGTCGTCTCGTCAGGCTCGGTGCCTTTGTTAAACTCCTCAGGAGTACGAGCGTTCGTTATTACCGACGGTAAGATATTTTGCGATATCGTCGTTGGCGATATTAGAGCGGATTCATCTTTTCCGAAGAGACTGGCGACGACAGCGGAAACACCGTTTGGCCCAACAGTCTGCGTGATAACGTTAGTCTCGACAACTTGCCGACTAGACACGCTAGATGTATTCTCTTGGAAGAACGTCGTTAAATATGTATACGTCGTATATAGGGTCTTGAAAATGAGCTCTATCTCCTCATCTTGTTTAGTAGTTTGCTCTTCTTCGATTTCATCAGGCAGGCTCGGTGTTCGGTGCCTTGTGCCTGACGGCAAAGAAGTAGTAGGACGAATCAAATTTTTGGTCGAGGTAGGTCGAATTAATTCTGTCAAGAAGGTTACCTCGGAAGAGACTACCTCCCGAGAACGTATCGAAGTCGTAGTCTGATCGCTGTCGCCCGGAATGAAGAAGGTTGTGAAGTACGTGAATGTCTTGTAGACGGTGGACGGTAATAATCTAGTAGTTAATGTCGCTTTCTCTTCCGCGTCTGAACCAGATCCGTGCTTAAGTCCGGGTCGAAGATTATTTTGTGAAGATCCGCCTTTGATGCTACGACCCTGAGGATCTCCTGGCACGATGTCGTTAGGAATTTCATCGTCTAAAGTCGGTAGCACCGATTCGGTCGTTCCCAATACTCTTCTCGCGCTTTCTAAGATGTCCTTCAGTGTCGTTAAAACACTGTCGGTCGTGCCTCTCAACGGCGTAGTCAGTTCATTCATCTCGTCTTCGCTGGTCGTGATGGTCGTCGGCGTGGTAGAAGGCAATTCGACCGTAGTATCCTGATCGTCGGATTCCGTTTCGGTCGTACCGTAATCCACGGTTGTGTCATCACCGTACGTTGCGGTGGCATCATCCGGGAAGAAGTACACGTTCGAAGATGTGTGAATGATTTGCGCATAATTCGTGCCAATATACGTGCCATAAATGTGGCTCTTATAATGAGTCGTGGTACCGTCCGACGAGGTAGTGGAATCGACGACTTTCAGAAGACCCGTCGGCTTCAACGATCCCGTCTCGACATCGGGCACCAGCAGTAGTGGTTCCGTGGATCTCTTGGACGATTCGGCATCGATTTCCTCGGTGACGCTTGGCTGAATGTTGCCGCGATTGATGGCGCTCAGAAACTGATCGTCCGAGCCGTGCTTCCGATCACCCTCGTAAGGCCGATCGGTTCTCGCGTGTTCCATCACGGTGGTAGGCCGGATCTTCGATACCGCGACACCGTCATCCGGACGAAGGGTGGCGTCGCCTTTGATCGTGGTGGCGGGACGTCCCATGGGCGCCGGCGACGTGCTCGGTGAAAAAACGATGACGGTGTCGCCGACCGTGGTCGTGAAATCCGCGAAGCCGTGGTAGGTCACCGTGGCAAGAGGCTTTATATCCAGCTTCCTCGGCGGCGGAGTTTTCACCTGCGGTTTAAAGATCTTCGGCACTCGCGGCCTGAAGGTCTTCGACTGCGCATCGTCGAGCGAATCAAAGTTATTCGACACGTATTCGTGTTTGACGGTGTAAGTGGGCAGATTATCGGCTGGTCGAACTTTCGCCGGTTTAAATCTCTGCGTGTCCACGTTCAGCTCTCTTTTATTGAATATGTCATTTTCTTTAGACAGTTCGTCCAGTTTCGAGGTATTCCCGAATTCCTTTTTCTTTTCTGCGTCAATGTCGCCACTCAGCACTTCGATCTCTTCGATAGCTCTGATTGGCGCGTTGTCAAGGGCCACCCGAAGCCGCCAATCATTTTCCGGCGCCCTCGACGGGTAAACGATGTAGGGACTCGACGGATCCGGCGCCGATTCTCTATCATAGAACACTCTGCTGGACGTAGATAGAATTCTCGCGTAGAGGCGACCGTTATCCAAGGTCGTGCCCAGAACCTGAGTGGCGAATTCTGTACTCGCACCATCTTGCACGAACGTTCGTGCCGTTTTTGTCAATATTCCAACAGGTGGTACGGACTTTCCAGGACGTGCCGGTACCAAGAGGACCGTGGTCACTCCTAAGTAGCCAAGTCCGAAAGCAATATACGAGGAGTAACGTTATAACGGCACAGAAACACGTCGCGTCGATGATTTGTCAATAGAATCGTCGGAAACGAACAAACGAAGAAATGAGGGAGAAGCGATTACGTTAACAAAACGGGACATCGAAGTTATCGAAATGTGATTGAGTTGGAATCAAGCGTAAATGTGTGCATCGAATTCGATTCGTTCAGTCGCGTTTCACGTTTACAAGCCCGTCCGTGTCATAATCGTCGTACCGAGTATATACGTCAGCGTCGTTCGTTTGCGTCGGTGGTCGATGACGGTTCGCGTCGTAATATTTTCATTTTTATTTTATTTTTTTTTTGTTATCGTAATGTAGGTCGTCGGAGAGACGGAGTGGCGGACGGACGTTGGAGGCAGACGGCATCCGTTGTTGAGAAGAGTTGAAGGCGGGGGAGCAGACGGGAGCAGTAACAGAAACAGAAAAAAAGAGACAGACGATCTTAATAGACGAGCCTTCTTCTTTCGTAGCCTAGGACACTTGTTCCAACGCTATCCGCGGTACCCCGCTTAATTTGCATCGTTACCCTACTTCTCGGAAAAAAAATGCTGTTCCTTAAATAGAGAGTGAGAAAAACTAGGCATGCGTACGAAAAAAAAAGAGAGAAAGATATTTAGCTAATAAGTTGCTTAGTTACTTAAGATATTAGTTAAGTTGCTTATGTACAACCCCTAGGTCCTGAAAATTCTAAGATCACACACATTGAGCGGAATTCGCTATAAAAAAAGAAAATGAAAATATTTAAAATAATATATTCAAATATAAAATAATATTTTTTTTTATTTTATTGTTACTTTCATTATTTTTAATTTTTAAAACAATGCTTAAAATGTCTAAAAAGCTTTCATGATGAATTTTCATGGCCTGGGGAGGAACATCTCGCAATCAATCGTATGACAGATCTTAAAGCCAGATACCACCGAAACAGAGATGACATATACATATTGTAGTCAACTCAGCGACAGGAAAATGTATTACCCGCTTGAGAAATATGTATTTACACGGCCGCACCTCGCGTCAACACGCACATGGATAATTGAGATACGCAAAATGATGTATCGCGAGAAGAGATAAGTTAGAGAGCAGAGACAAAGAACAAAGCAGAAAGACCATTTCATGTTACAGATTTGCACTCAAACTTCAACGCACAGGAGCGTTAAATCTAAACTACAAAAAATAAATATTTTTATCGGATACAAATAGAAAATCGTTCGAGGAAAAGCTCAATTTTGAGTGCAATCCTTGTCTGCGTGTATAGGTGTGATTCAGGTGTCGTAAATGTGTCACGACTAGCATACATTTGTTAGACACGTTACGTAAACATTTACGGAGAGACTTACCCTCCAGATCCCTTTCTATCCTGGAAGCTCTAACATTATTCGATAAAACTCCATCTGCAAGAAAAGAAAAGAAACATTTTTTTAACGCGTATGTTTTTAACTAATTTATTTAATATACCTAATTTGCATATATGAGCGAGACACAAGGTCGCTTTGATGCGTTCGGCAGAGGAAGCGTGGGTGGTGAAAGGAAATTATCGAAGGATGTCATGATAGTAGGAGCTTCATTTGGTCATCGTCATAGTTCCTCGCGAAATAATTGCTATGCGTCATACGGATGTCATCATATTGATTTTTTCACATTCGCAGAAATTTTTTTATAGCAACTTCCCTTTTGATACGTACAAACACAGATATGGAAGTTTCAAGTATTTATAAGATTTTTTCGGGGATCTCAAAGACTCAATTGCGCGTTTATTCGCAATTCAAGGGGGGAAAAAACCGGGAGGAGACAAACAAGAAAAAAAGCGAAGGCAAATGTCGTGTCTAGAGAGGTCTGCACCTATGGGAATGGGCATAGAGAGAACTCCAGACGCCGATGACACCGAAGATGTCGTCCGGAGGCCGGGACGTACAGTTATCTGACCGACTCCTTTTCTCTACGTCGTTTTCTTCCCGTGTGCACGTGAGCGCCTGTGCACTTGCGTGTGCACGTGGCTGCACACGCTGCATGTCGATAGGCAGCTATGAGCACCTTTCCGTATTACAGCATATATGATATATGATTGTGGTAACAGGTTGATGCACGCAAAAAACAGTCATCAACAACAAATTTAATATATTGTGCGTTATTCTCGAACACTCTTTTGTAGTGTACAATCGTTTGGAAACATTTGTCACGGAAACATTTCCACTTTTGAGAATGTCGAACCCATACATCGCGACCATTACCCAATGATCCGGTGACGTTGAACTCGCGGAGCTGACCGGGGCAGGTGACATCCGGTTTATTCGACGACGCGCGGACATTTCTCGGTATCGTGGCAATCGGGACCGACGTACCGAGGTCATACTCGTCCTCCGGACACATTGGGTCAGCTGGTCGACTTCGCGCGTCGCCCTTCTTTCCCTGGCGTCTGGCCTCCAGCCAGCCGAGCCGTTTTGCGGCCCCCGACAAACCGGTCGTCGCGTCATGTTACCCAACAATCGGTAACGATCGCGGTCGCGCGCTGACGTACGTGGGAGAGAGAATTCGTGTTCGACATCGTGCACCTCGTGCATCACGTTATTTCAATGCGGTTTGAATTGCGTTATGAAATGCATCGGCGTCGTCGCGATTACGCCAATCTGCCGCTCATCACGCATATATTAAGTCTGGGATAAGATTTCGAACAAAATTGTATAAGTTTATCTTTTTATATAAACACATTCCTTAACGAAGCTTATAACGCTATACGTAACAGGATTACTACGTAGCAGAATTGTGAGCGAACGTTGAATAAGATTGCGAAAAAACGTTCCGGATGGCAGTGTGACGTGTCGACGAACCATTTCTGCTACTTTCGAGTTGCATGGGTGTTTCACGCATAATTTTCCCCGCATAGTTTCCCGCGCTCGCACGATATCGTTAAGTTACAGCTTCAGTGCGGTACTTATTCAAAGGCGCGCGTTTAACTCGCGTTTGTAAGTCGGTAAGGGGATACGCGGGGCCCACACCTGACGATCGACTTCCACATACGCAGCTGCATAATCGCGGTTGCATAGGCGACGGCTACCTTGAGCTCGTTTTCTTGTACGATACGCGAGCGAGGAGAAATCCTCCGGAGGATTACGCTCGTTTCGTAAGAACAATTCGTCCATTCATGTCGCGCTATCTACGACCCGCGGCTAATGCCCCGAAAGATTTTTTCTCGCCGTAAGAACGATGATTGCTCCCGGCCAATCTTGGTGGCGTTTAACGGCGACAAGTGGTGTGTTGCGCCAACGAGATTCCACAATGATGGATAGGGTCGTCAACATTCCGCAATAAAAAAGAGCATTGCAAATCCATAAATGCATTCGATCTTATACCACTTTTTAGGGATTATAACTTTAAAAATTGCGCCTTTACTTACGCAATTTAAGCGTATTTTGAATTAACAATTTTGATTGGATTACTTTTATATTGTTACGAATTTATTTCATTATCCAAAATAATGAAGAAATTATGCTGTATTTAACGAGCTGTGCATTCGATGGATGTCCACGTTAACCCTGACAATACGTGTCGTAAGTTTTAAGTATTGTGCGTGAGAGCGACGCGGATATCAAGGTAACGCAGTCGTCGACCAATGCAAGACACGATTTTAATCTCACTTTCAATAGTGGGCGACATCATACATTACGGACTATACCTATAACCAGAACAATACTATAAATACGCAAGACGTATGCGATAAAGAGATACAAACAGAGACTAATGAAGATATATATCTCTTAAAACATTTAGCGAAGATAAGTAATTGAGATTCTTGATTCTAAGTTAGATAAAGATTCTTTATGCTTATTTTTATTGAAATTTTTTGAATTTGCGTGTTTAATATCGCGATGCTTACATCAGACAATGACGAATCACATTAACGTCGTCGTCACGTTTTCCGGTGAAAGCTCCTTCCCAAAAAGAGAGAACAATGTATACGATGAGGAAGCAAACGACCCACGCAATTTGTCGAAATCTGATTTTGCCGCGGCGCGGCGGCAGCTATGAATTAATTTCTCACGTTGCGAGCAACGAGTTAACTGGCCGTGTAATAGTCGACGCGGCCACTTCGGAATGTGTTTGCTTTGAGTCGAGACGCGCGTAGATACATGTGGTAAACCGAGAATAATGATGATTACTTTCGCTTGCTCAATGATTTCTTGCAATACCGACCCGGGCAATACCTGCGACGTTCCGCGTCGGTACTTTCGTTCATCTTCTATCACTTAATTGCATTTAATTGCATTCGCAAAAAGTGCCGAGGACTCGAATTTCACAAAGGGACGATTTGCTTCTTGGTGTAAGCATGCGATTGGAAACCCAGTTGCTCCAAAGCCGTGTGCAATATATCTTCGCGAAATTTTCACAGAGAAGACGTTTCAATCGATCCACAACTCTGCCGGCGCTATTGTCTCGCGTTAATTGAGAACGTATCGATCCTCCACGCTAAATCGCGTAAGCAACACAAAATCTCGCGCTTCAGGCGCCACGGAACGGGTTCGAGAGAGAAAGCGTTCGATCGTGGGAACCGGTAACCGGTGGCACCAACGGATACGGTCTCGCGCAGATACGAATTCCTTAAATTATCACTTTGGCCACACGCCAACGGCGAATTTCGCGGGTGCACTTGTGCGTTTAGAACGATACATTTTAGACATGTTAAAAATGTTGCCGCTGTAATAAACGCTAATATTTCTTATGGAACTATTTTATGCGCGTGACGCTTCTGACGCTTTTGCTGGAACGATCAAATTACCGCGGGAGAGAGAGAAAAGTCGGCGTCCTCCGGAAGAAACTTGCAGAAGAATTTGCGTAGTATAAATACTGGTTCGGTATTCGTTGTTATTCGTTATAATCCCCTGTCATGCGTAACGTCGCGTTTACTTGTCGCTTAAGCGACAAGTCCACGGTGAGATTCGTGAGTTCAATATCCATCGGGTAGCTATGTCCAGTCAACCAACCGGAAAATGACAAGTTGCTTCCGCAATATCCGACGTCTTTCTTGCTCTTTCACATCGTATAAATGTCTCTTGACATGGCTAACATGGGTCGCGCTCGTGCGAGCGTAAAAGAAAGTAAACCGACGGGCGAGAAAAGAGAGGTACATTATTCACGTGTCATTTACATACCGCACAGATTATTTATTTTATTTAGTGAAACCGTTTCGTCTAAAATGAAATATGAAAAGATGCGATCTATTTATTTAAGAAAAGTATATTTTTCCGTTCTTTATAATTATTTACAAACCGTAATTATTAAAAAGTTATCACGTTCAGAAAAATTAAAATATTTTTTCGGTATATTTGTTTTCTGAGGAAAAGAGATAATATCTCTATTTCTCTAATTCTCATTTCTAAAGATTCTAAATTTCTATGACGCGATTGCATCTCTTGATCAATGAAAACAGAAAATATACATCGATACCGAGCTATCCCGCCATCGCAAAAATGATGTTAGAAACAAAGGCAAAAGGCGGTGGCGGCTTCTGCAACGACTGCTAGTAACGGTATTGCTTGTTACTCCATTTCGTATCTGCTTCATCGAAGCCGATAGATCTTCTTTCATGTCTCTGAAACGATCCGATGATGATGTGCAGCGTGCGATATCGACGACATCTAGTCCACTATTCCATTTCTATCGTCTTTTAAATTCTATATGTTTATAGTGTAGTAGTATCAATATCGTATAATATCAAGAAAGATATTACATGGGAGAGACGCATAAATTAATATTTATCACATATGGTGTATGTGTGTATATATACATAGATTCTTTAGGTTCATACTAGTATCATTTTTATTTCTGTTTGGAATTCATTTAACGGAGCAATCACTTATCCTGTTTATTCAGTGACATTTATGCCACAACGCCATTGAAATTTGCGACACAATTGCTAATTTGAATTGTAATACTAAAACAGAATTCTGAAGCAATCGATCGATACTGCATATATATATGCTTAAATGAGAGAATAGCTCTGGAAAAGACCCCGCTAAACACGTTTCAACCTTAAGAGAGATCTTTCATCGGTTGCATATGATATGCTACTTTATTTCGAATTATCATTTTCTTATCTCTGAGGCTAATGATTATTCAATTAATTTATTACATATTCACTTTCACATAATTTACAATTTTTAAATATTAAATATTTATTTGTTATTGATTTTCATAGAGAACTCAGGTGATATTAATTTTTAATTTTTAATATTCGGTTAATTATGTCTTTTGATATTTAAATCCTCTGTATATTATATCAGAATCAGATATAACTGATATTTACAAATCAGTTATTAATGACAAATTTAAATTGTCATATGCAAATTATTTGATTTTTTAAAATGAAATTTTGAGTTGATTAATTAATTCTTCTATTTAAAAAGAATTATTAAATCTAATTTAATAAAAAGAAGATTTGAAGAATAGCGTTAATTTTTTCTGTTAAAAATAATTTTATTATTATTATTCTTTTTGTTTTTTTTTTACAATTCGAGAGGAATTAAATAGCGTGATTTTAACATTTGCATGTTTTTGAATCCATTGTTCTCAATTAATAATTACAATTGTAATTAACTTCATATTTCAATATTTGTTAAACGCGTATAGCATTAATTGACATTTGAAACATCGGTGACTCATTGAAACTCCTTGAGTTAACGTGACGCTTAGCTGTGAGACATCGAGTAAATCGTAGCTTCCTGCGATCGTACTTTTTCCGCATTCATACTCTTCCTTCCGTAGTTCCGTCACAATACGGTAAAGCGTGTGGCATGCGATTAACGACGAGGAGTGCCGTGCAGATACCGTATTCTGGATTCTGCGAACATAACGTGACTAACGTGCGAACTTAATTAACTGTTTTCGCGATTAAGTGTTATGTAAGTGTAATGAAAATACCTGAAAGAAGGTGGAGGCCTGGGAGGCATCGGGCAACAAAGTATAATAAATAAATTATGGTTTACATGTTATTTATTACTCGCGGAATTAATCTATTCCAATTTGAATACCCTCGTTATCTTCATACTCGAATTGTTTTCGAATTTATGTAATAATTATTTATATACGCATTAAAAAATAGATTACTTGTGAAATTTGATAAAAGCTTGTACTTTAGCAGAAGATTTTTGGTCAAATATATATAATAATTTCATAAAGTGTTTACTGGGAAAACAAATATAGAAAATTCAATGTAATTATATTTTAAAGTATTATTTATTTTGGATGCTGTATATATAATTTATATTTTTTATTTTACAGATCAACGAAGTGTTACAACTCCGCTGCTGTGTGTCAGTGAGTATTGAATTGCCTTTTATTTTAATCTGAGACAATGGATCGGAGGCGGTGAATGATATTGCAGAATAAATGCAACATCTCTTTTACAGATTCATTGCCTTGCATTAGCTACGGTAGATTAGCGTAAAACATTTTATCCTCTGTACATGAGATATGTCTATCCATTATGTATTATCCATGTCGGACGTGTGCTAACTAGCTAACTCATGTGCCAGCGGGCATGCGCTAGAAAACTTTTTGACTAAAA